CATCACACCTTTTTATCATGCTTGTAAAAGTTATAGTAGCAGTATATAAGATGCATAATGTGTAGCCATCACACCTTTCTAACATGCTTATAAAAGTTATAGTAGCAGTATATAAAATGCATAATGTTTAGCCATCACACCTTTTTATCATGCTTGTAAAATTTATAGTAGCAGTATATAAGATGCATAATGTGTAGCCATCACACCTCTCATGCTTGTAAAAGTTATAGAAGTTAAAGTTTAGTAACAAGTAAATTCTTTTAACAAAAAATATTTTATCATTAACTACAATTTTTTATTTTACTTTTTGTTTACGTTTAGTCATTTGAAAAAAACGTTTAAAATTTTAGGTTTCATTGATAAAGGATAAAATAGTTATTTAAAAGTTTTTTGTCTTTTTCAATTAACTAATAGTTTAATGAAAAATAATCCTTAGTTGTGCCCTATTGGTAACTGACAGTGGTGCACTATTTCTATGTTGCAATAGTGGTAACTAACAGTGGTGCACTATTATTATGTTGCAATGATGGTAAGTGACGGTGGTGCTCTATTTTTATGTTGCAATAAAACATACTTAATAACACTAAGCTTTAGAGACTGTTTTTGTAATACTGTTTTCTTCATATTAAATTTTATATTTATCAAACTCTGTATTTATCAATTGATAGGTATATTAAAAGAAATGTAAGAAAAGTGTAAAATAAAAGTGAAAGTTAGTTATAAGTTTAATGTTAAAAAAACTAAAATTAAAATTAATTAAGAAATTGAAGTTGATATAAAGTTAAAAACATTAAAAAGTTTTATTAGAATTGTACCAAATTTTATTTTCTACGCTTTTTTTCAGAGAGTAAAACTTATTTAGAGTTTAGATAGTTTAATTTATATGGTTTTAAATTTCAACAACTTTTTGTGCATACCTGGTTAGTAGCATTTAAACACTTTGCTGTAGAAATTTTTTTATTATTAAAATTTTTATACATTTTTTATATATTTTTTTTCTAAATAACATTATGACCAAAAAATAAGAAACTATTAAAAAAACAAAAAAAAAACAAAGAACAAATAAGCCAAAATAAAAAAGTAAAAAATTCTAAAAAAAAACTTTTAATGCTCTCAAAAAAATTAAAGCAATGTTAAACATATGTTTAACATGATATTAATCATAGTATGTTTAATCGTGATATTACAGTTACCCAGAAAAGGGGTTAACAAGGAAAAACAACATTTACTAAGAAGGCTAGGAACTACAACACCACAACTTTTACTAAGAAACCTAGAAACTAAGAAGCCACAACTTCTAATAAAATACTTAATATAAACTAAGAACAACGCTTTTTGCAAAATTTGTTCTCTGGAATTGTTTATGAAACTATTAGCTAACACATACATTTAAAAAATACCAATATGCAATAATTGTTTGAAATAATTTCCTAAAAAAATACATTTAAAAAATACCAATATGCAATAATTGTTTGAAATAATTTCCTAAAAAATCTGTAAATCAAAATTTGCTTATTAAAAACTTGGAACTACTGTATAAAGATACTGTAGAGAAAATTTTTTTATTTTTTAATGTGGTTATCATAATATTTTAAGTTGTTACTCTTATCAAACATAGTTTTTATTAGTTTTTTTAATTATTATAATTTTTTTAGTTTTTGATTCTTATTGTTAGTTTTATTAAAAGTTAAAAATTTAATTTTTTTTCAATTGATTTTTTGATTTTTTACTTGTTTAATAGTTATGATATATATAGAGTTTTTATAAGTTTAGGTCCAGCTGCTAAAATCTCCCTTAAATGTGAATCATTTCAAAATGAACAAAATGATCAGGTTCCTAAAATATCACTTCTTTCTCACAGCTTTATTCAGTCAAATATTCATTGCCAAATCACAGATTTATATGGTAATCCAACATCCATTAAGACAGGTGTTGAATTGGTTTGGGAACCAAAAACTGCTGGAGTACAATTAGTTAAAAAAACAAACATCAGTGGTGAAATGGTTTTTCGTAAAAATTCAATTAAATGCTTAGCTGAAAAAGGAAATGTTCGAATTAAAGTTTTTACCCCTGATATGAATGCAATAGAGGTAGAAATATTTTTTGTTTGTACATTCTGTAAATGTGACATCTTTTATTGATAGATTTATTTTTTAGTTTAACAGTCTAATCGCTTTTGTTCCTATGGTTAAAGTTTTTTCTCTCAAATATCTTTCTACAGCTTCTGGTCCAGATTACTCTGCTATCTTACAAAAACCTGAACCCCCCCCCTCCCCTAAAAAAAAAACAAAAAAACCTCAAAGCTTAGCTGAATATTATTTCTACTTTCCTTGACTGATAAATGATCTCTTTTTTTTTTTTTTTTATTGAACAACCTTAAAAAATTTTTAGTTTTTTTTTTTCTCTTTTTGTTTCTCTAATTTATATCTTGTTTAAAGCATTAATAACTGTCTCCACCATTCAGAACTTTTTTATATTAAAAAAAGTATGTTTTTGTTGTATTTTTTAGTTCTTATTTTGGTTTAACAAAGTTTGCAATAGAAGATTTTTTTTGTCTCTGTCACATTGTACTTTGTTTGGTATTTTGATCATTCTTGTTTATTTCTTTTCATTTCATTTTCTTTTTTTGTTAAAAAGTTTTGCTTGGCTAACACTACTGTTTTTGTCTTGCAAAGTTGTTATTTCCAAAACTTACTTAAGGAATAAAAACGCAAAAATTATTCTGAGATAACTTTCATTCACCTAACTATCTGATTAATTTTTTTACTTTCTTTAGGACACTTCTATTAACTGTTCTAAATATTAAGTATTTATTAGTTGAAAGATGCTTTTTTTGTTTGTTTTTGCCTTGTTAAAATCTTTTTCTATTTATTTTGCTCTTAAAAACATTTCTATATGTGTTTTACCACAATGTGTGTTGGTTTAAATTTGTTTGTTCTTTTTTTTTTTCTTTTTTTTTTTTGTGTTTACTTTTTTTTAGGTTTATTTTTTTATAGCTTAATTTTTTTTTACTGTTTTTATCTTGCATTATTTATACTTTCTTTTTCTTTGTTTTTTCTTTTGGAGATTCAAAGACGATGATGCAAATGTACAATATTTTATATTTTAGCCAAGATTTATTGATGTTGAAATTTTACAGAGCAACTTAGTTACCAGTATTGCTTTAGTTATGGAAGAGTCTATTTTTACAGCTCTATCTCAATTTCCCACATTAAAGGTTTTTGATATTATTATTTATTTGATTCTTTAAAATATTTTTACATGAATTTAAAAATTTAAAAATTTATTTGATTTGATTTTTATATGAAGATAATTAAATTAAGATAAAACAACAACAAAAAAATTAATATTTATGAAAAAATTGAATATCAAGCCTTTGTTAAAATCCGAGCTGTACACCGCATAACCAAGCTACTTCAAAGTATTCTTAAAGGTGAGTTTCTTCTCATCTGTGTTTTTACCGGAATGGGAAAGGGAATAATAATCATGTGAGCATGCGTAGTTTTACTTCAGAAAAATTAAAACTTATACGCATGTCCTCGTGTTAAATATTTGAGAAGTAAACTAAATTAATAAAAAATTTTTGGGCAGCAAAGGAAAGTTATAGGACGCAACTTCAACAAACTTTAACAAAGGAAAGTTATAGGATGCAACTTTGGCTGAATGAGAAGCACTTTTAAAAGTTTTTTTTTTTTAAATACAACTCTTGTAGTATTTTTATAAAGAAAAAAACTTATGACAAAAGCTCAAACTAGACAGCTAAAACAGATTCAAATTTAAACCTTGTCAAAAGACTATTGTGTCTTAAGATTATCGTTGACTTATCTTTAGTCAATCTTAATCTAAAGATTGACTAAAGATTAGTCAATGAACGAGTCTTAATGACCTTTACTTTACACCCTCTTGGATTATCTTAATGATAATCCAAGAAGGTGTAAAGTAGAGGGCATCAAGAGTCTTGCCATTCAATAATAAAATAAATAATATTGCTATAATTATTAGCAGTAAACAGTTAACTTTTTTGGGTGGGGAGGGAAGAAGGGGGGAAATATTGCCAGTCTCTGCAAGCTGATTATAATAAAAAATAACAGCTAACCAAGATGAAGTTAAGTGTATTAAAGTTAAAATCAACAAGAAGGAACAAATGTTTTTGTTTTTCCCCATAAGATTGTATATGATGCGCAGTTTTTAAGTGCGAGAAATGAAATTAGTGTACAGACCTTGAAAAAAAATGAAATAATCCCATTCCCGGTAGTAGTAAGAATTGGAATAATAGAGTGAAATGCAAGAAAGATCAATGATCTAAATAATACAGGATATATATATATATATATATATATATATATTTTTTTTTTAAATACTGATTTACTCCCAACAAGGCTGCAAGTAACCACTATAAAGTTAGGAGTTACTAGAAAAAAAAAGAATAGAGTTACATAACAAGGAAATTATCAACTTGAAAAGTTATAGTTTGTAAGTGTCAGGACTAGATTTTTAGAGCATGCATGAACAGAGTAAAATAATGACTTTACTGAATGACTAGTCAAGCAAAAATGAGTTTTAGTTGATGGAACTAGATAATAGTTCCTTTGAGCAGGGATCATGATAGTATTTATAGAAAAAAGAAAGAGGAAGATCAGAGAAAGAAGCTAAAGCTTGGCAGATAAAGCAGGTCCAAATATATTTACAATGCTTTTTTGGACCTTGTCTACAAGAGAAAGAACACCATTAGAAGAACCAGTCTAAATATGGCAATAGTATTCCATACAGGGCCAAATAAAAGATTTGTAGCAGTAGAGAATAAAATCAAGACTAAAAAAGTGGCAAGCAGGATAAAGAGAAGCAACCTTGGCAGATGCTAATTTAGCAATTGATTTTATATATAAATTTTATTCCATGAAAGGTCAATAGTGTACAATAATCCAAGAAGACATAAAGAAGAGGACTGTGAGAGTAGTCATTCATTATTATAAAAATATCAACAGTATTTTGATATTGTTTGCAATAAATAACTGAGTTTTGTTGGAGTTAAAATTCACAAGTCACTGTAAGCCCCAATCTGTTACAAAAGTGAGATCAGATACAAAATCAGCTGTCTGTTCAAAACGGTCTTAACCAAAAGACTATTTGTCAAGACAGAAGTAAAAAGTTGAGTCATCAGCAAAAAGCTAAATTAGATGTAAGGTTGTCAAAAAAATCATTAATGTAGATAAATAAAACAGGACCAAGGATGGAAACTTAAGGTTCCTTTGAAGTTACTAAAAATGAAGAAGAGTGTTGGCCTTTAAAGATGACTTTAATAAAGCCGTCAGAAAGAAACGATTTAATAATCTTAAAAACTTTACCAGATACATTATATCAAACAAGCTTATAAAGAAGACCATCATGCCAAATATTGTCTAAAGCTTTAGATATGTCTAGAGCAATAGCCTCTCCACCTCCGTCGCACGATAAATTCTTTCAGTCACAATAGTTAGCAAGTCAGCTGTAAAGCCGTAGATCAAAAACTGTATTGGGATGTAAGAAATTAGTTGATCAAAGACTTAAAGATCTTGCTAATAACAGAAAGAAGACTGATTAGACGATAATTAGAGGGGTCAGAATGTTCTCCAGAGTTTTTGAATACTGGAGCAACAGATGTCAGAGAGTTAAAGAGAACAATTTCATATTACTTTGACTGGAATGTTGTCTGGACCAAATGCCATAAAAGAGTTTAATTGAGATATGACTATAACAATGGAAGTTGGAATGATTTGAAATTGTCTAACAATGGGTTAACTTGTTTAACTAGAATGAAAAGAAGAGAATGGCCATAAGATTCAAGAGTCAAGTTAGAAGAAAAGTTCATTAAAGTCACCAAATAACAACAACATAGGGAGAGGGACAAAAAGAAAGGACATGCTCAATTGAAGAGGTTCTAAGCAGAAGTACATTTAAGAATGGTTAAAGAATTCAAACCTGATTTCATGGCAAATAAGTGAATTGATTTGTATGTATACCTCCAAGCCATGTCACTGTTGGAGTCTTTGAAAATCAAAGAATAGAACCCATCAACACTGAGATTTGAAAAAGGTATAGCTGAATTTAGATTTGTCCAATGGAAGTTTGTTTTGCAGATGAGTATTTGTAAAAGATATATTTAAGCAGTTAGGTGGTAGGAATGGTTTTTTATGTTTAATATTTTGGGTTTTTTTTTGGCATGATTTAAATTTAAAGAGAACTTGACTCATTCATAGATGGACCACAGTCTCCTAAGCAATTAGCAATACAGTTGTCTCAGTCCTGTTAAAAAACCCCATGTCATAACATATGACTTCACAATGTGCGCCAAAAGCACCAACAGGGACACCATGCGCAATATAGCACTGTTAATACTCTGATATTTTACAGCTGTTGATGGAATCAGCCTCTCTAAGACCATTGAGTTCTGGAAACCTTACTACCAGCCAGCCTCAGAACCATTAAACTAAATTTTAGAGCTATACCTATTATCTCATTAGAAGATAACAGGAAAGCACAAGCTAAAATCTATGAACAGAGTCAAAAAGATTTCATCATTCTAGCCAGTAAACAATGTAACACAGATTTACATCTATGCTAGCCTAATAGATGAAGAAGTGGTTCAAGGCTGGTCCAGTTGCAAGACAGTAACTGGATGCTGTTAACATCTACCCAAGATGATAATAAAGCAGTTAACATCTGCTCAAGATGATAATAATGCAGTTAAAATCTGCCCAAGATCTGAATATTATAAAATGCACAAGATTATCTATGTAATGAAATAGGTCTGAATAGAAAAAGATAAATGTTTTAGATTGTCTGGTAAAACAAGTCAATAAGTTAAATGATTTGGATCCTCTGGAAAACAAGTAACTAAGTTAACAATCTAGGTATAAAATTGAGAAAGTTTTTAACTTTAGTGTTGGCAGAGTTAGTAATATTAGCAAGGCCTTTCAGCATTATTGAGCATTAAAGTTGTTATTAACAGTGCATGCAATAATAATATTTGAAATAAACTAGTTTTGCATATTTTTGCTAGTTTGGCTGTACATTTTTAAATAAAGCTTATATATATATATATATATATATATATATATATATATATATATATATATATATATATATATATATATATATATATATATATATATATATATATATATTTATATATATATATATATTTTTTTTATATATATATATATATATATATATATATATATATATATATATATATATATATATATATATATATATATATATATATATATATATATATATATATATATATATAAATATAAATATATATATATATATTTATATATATATATATATTAGGGTGGGTCATAAAATTTTTTTTTAGAGTTGCTAACCTGGCTATGGTCTAGAAAGTTGTTTTTTTATGTACTAATTTAGGAAAGTATTTACTTTTATGGATTGAACAATGTCTTTCACCCGCTACTATAATTACAAAAATTAGCAGGCCCTATTATTATTCAAAAAAAAAGTTTTTCAAAATTATGTGATGTTGGTACTCAAATAAAGCGAAATTTTATAAAAAATTTCAAAAATAATAATTTTTTCATATAAAAATTATTAATTGCATAATAACTATAGTTTTTTAACTAAAATTGAAAAAGGTGCATTTTTACATGTTTTTTAATAAGAATTTTTTTAATTTTTTTTCAATATTTTTGTATATATATATATATACAATATATATATATATATATATATATATATATATATATATATATATATATATATATATATATATATATATATATATATATATATATATATATATAGGTATTTCATAAGACTTCAGACAATGTACCTGTTGCAATTCTAAGGTCAAACATCAGCATAAGTATTACCTCACCAACTGGGAAAAATATTGATTCTCTTGCAGTTTACAAAAGTACTTTGCAATCTTATGTTGATGATGTATTAATTTGTGTACCTGACAATGGTAAGTTTTTATAAACAAAATATTTTGGAATTTTCTTTAATACTATTACTTGCTTTTGCAGGGTAATATTCATATTGCTGGGTAATATTCATATTGCTGGGTAATATTCATATAATATTCATATATTGTCATAAATTAAATAAATAAAATTTCTGAGTTTTAAAAAAACTAATGAACAGTTAAAACTGCGTTTATTATTTTTATTATTTTCATTTTAGCAGTGTGTTTTGAAGAGTCTGGTCTTTGGACCATAGATTGTTCTTACATAGAATCTCGCCCTGCTTTGGTAGATATTGTAGGAAAAAAACCTCTTAAAAGTGAACTGTTGAAAATAAATGTGTATCCAGGTTTGTACTAATATAAATATAATTTTATTTCGGTGGCAGCCATTTTGATTTATCATTATTATTAACTAATATTATAAAAGTGTATTGTAAAGCAATTTATAGCTAATCTCTATGCCTCAACCATTTTATTAATATAACTGTTTACCACAGTCTGTAAAAATCAGGTTTAGTTTTTACGGTATTCCTAAGAAAATACTCCGATATATAAATACAGTAAATTACCTTGGCAAAATATTAAAATCTTTTAATTGTGTTTGAAATTAGTTAAATTAAGATTAGTTTTGAAAATTTCATGTTACTGAAACCTTTATTTAGCAAGTTTCAAATGAGATTTTATTACTTTTGACATAAAATTTTGATAAGTTATCAAATCAAAAAGAGAAAACAAAATGTTTTTTCACTGCACAACATCAACATAAGGTTTTTCTCTTTGCTATTGTCAACAGTGCACTAAAAAAACTTGGATCCATAGTATAGATGCACAGTGGGCTAGAATTCACTTTTACTGGACAAAACTAATAACTCATCTTATAAAAAAGATTTAAGAACTGTTTTTGTACTGTTTTTAGACTAATTTATTGCTTTTTCTAACACTGTAGAAGTTTCTTGAAAATATGGAAAATATGATCAAAGAAGCTTCGAAAAACATATTTGAATTCCTTGAATTGATTCCAAATTTGTTGCTATTTGTCTTCAGACATCTGAATGTTTTTGAAAATATTATAAAGATTGTATGAATCATGCCAAAAGCATTGATTTTTGCATAAATGTGATTGAATTCTACACTAAAGCTTTTTTAAGAATGCATGAAATATTGAACTTTGTTTATTTTAAATCCAACATTATCTTAATGTTTTTGTAAGATTCTAGAACCTTATCTGCAATTGCAATGGTTAACTGGCGCTTGACTTCAGTGTCTTGAACTAATGAGTTAATAAGTAATTTTGAATTTTTTTTGTTGAGTGCTAGATATTTCATCAGTTTCTTTCATGTGTTATTAAGAGCAAGTCTTATTTTCAAATATCAAACTTCTAACCTTACTGAGATAATCTGTTAATTGCTCCCTTCGAGCTCGAGCTGAGTATGTTCATTCAAATTCTTGCAATACAAAATGTCCACTTTTGTTTCTTCAAAATATGGCTTAAACAGCCTAAACTACGTTAGCATAATCCATGTAGACCCTAATTTCCTTTTTTTTGGTGTTATAAATGGTGCTCCCTTCGAGCTCGAGCTGAGTATGTTCATTCAAATTCTTGCAATACAAAATGTTCACTTTTGTTTCTTCAAAATATGGCTTAAACAGCCTAAACTACGTTAGCATAATCCATGTAGACCCTAATTTCCTTTTTTTTGGTGTTATAAATGGTATTGAGTTGAACATTAAACTTAAATTTCAAGAGTATTTGCCAGAAAAATTTGTACTTTTAACCGCCCAAGCAAATCAAAGAGTCACTTTATATACAAATTGAATATTTTTAAATTTGTATTTTTTTATTATTTTATATAAAAAACTTAAAGACTTAAGAGTTTTCAATATATATGTGTTTCCTGGAGTTACTTGTTTGTCACCAGTGCACGTAAGAGTATTTGACGATTTTAGCTGGCCAAAATTGGAATTATTAAAAGTGGCCGTACCCATTTTTAATAATTACCTACCCTTATTATCTCTCGATAATGGTCGCTTAATGAGCAGTTAATGGTTTGGTTATAAAAGTAGTAATTAGAACTACACAGTCTAGTTAAATATCCGATCTATATCTGCGTGGTTCATTTTATTTACGAGCGATTTTAGTGGTGTTTATTGAAGCTGTGTACAAGTGTTTACAACAGAAGTTTTACAGTGTTATATCATGGATGAATCTATGACAGGTATGTACATTATTTACTCTTACTCCGTTTTGAAATATTAATTACCACAAAAGTTATGTACCGTGAATCTTAGCATTTTTTTAACGAATTTTAAAGTAAATTTTGACTTTAAAATTGAAAAAGTTGTAGTGCGCATTGAAACCCTTTTAGTTTTTTTAGTTTTTCTATGAGTTTATACCACTAGCTATTTAAAAATCTTAATTTCAACTGCCTGTTGATGCCATCTAAATTTTAATCATGTTCTACGCACATCAAGGTCAGGGTTATATATATATATATATATATATATATATATATATATATATATATATATATATATATATAGATATATAGATATATATATATATATAGATATATATATATATATAGATATATATATATATATAGATATATATATATATATATATATATATATATATATATATATATATATATATATATATATATATATATATATATATATATATATATATATATATATATATATAGATATATATATATATATATATATATATATATATATATATATATATATATATATATGTATTTATATATATATATATATATATATATATATATATATATATATATATATATATATATATATATATATATATATATATATATATATATATATATATATATATATATATATATATATATATATATAGATGGCATCAACCGCCTGTTGATGCCATCTAAATTTTAATCATGTTCTAAGCACATCAAGGTCCAAGATGAATTTTTCAACTTAATTTTTTTTTTCTATATGGGTCATCAGGAATGCAAACAATCTCTCGTTAGGATTTCTACAACAGTATTCAGCAGCAGGAGGCTCCAAATTTCAATGAAAAAATGGATTTAGCTGATCAAAATTTGTTATCAAGAAATCAATATACCGAAGAACTAAAAACAGTATACAAGCGTCAAATGTTGAGGTTGAAAGCTATTTTTAGAAAAATGTGGTCGTCTTCATCCAGAACTCATGAAATATTTATTAAGAAGCATGGCCCTTGGCTGCAAGGGAGTTTCCAAATACCGGGTACCCCATCCACTCCATCATCAGCTGGACGACCAAGAAAAAGTTTTGTCGATTCTAGTGAACATTCAAAGAGGAGAAAAACAGAACAGCTCAGGAAAGATGTGTAACCAGAAGCTATTGTTTTTGCAGCTGAAACTTGTTTGACAACAAGTGGCAAAAGAAGTGCTGCAACCGTCCTCAAAGATCTTAAAACATCTTCCAAACAAGCGGGAAAGTATAAAAAAGCCTATTGCAGCAGTCTTGAACCTACAAAAAAATCATTGACACCGTTAGAGGCTCTTTTAATATTTACTGACGCAGGCCTATATGAAATTGTATGTACAAGTGACAAGAAGCAATGGCCCTGCTACAGTATTTTGGTCGAAGAAAAAAAACATGCTATCCTGATCTTGATTCGTTCACAGTCACAGAAAGTTTAGCTGAAGTAGACTTACAAAGTCTGTTAAACCATTCTGCCGAAAGATTGGTGTTGTATTTAGAAGAAGTTATCAAGACTCTAACGGAAAGTGGGCGTAAACATATGAAACTATCTACGAAATGGGGTTGTGATGGCTCCCAGCAGACACAGTTTAATCAAAAGTTTGAGGATGACTCTAATTCTGATGCCAGTATATTTCAATGCTCGATGGTTCCATTACAGCTAACTTGTGGAGTAAATAAAAAGGTTATCTGGCAAAACCCTACACCATTGTCTCCAAGGTTTTGCTGGCCAATTCGAATTAGGTTCATAAAAGAAACTGCTGATGTAATAGCTGAAAAAATTGCTTATATGGAAAACAAAATTGCAGGCTTGAAACCAACTCAACTTCAAGACATAGCAGTAGAACATGTGATGATGTTAACTATGATTGACAGAAAAGTCTGTAACGGAGCAACCACCACTAAATCGACCATGCGGTGTTATATTTGTTGAGCAATATCAAGACAATTTAATGATTTGGACAGAACATGTGTTGACAATTAAAGCAGCTACAAAGTTGGACTATCCATTCTGCATGTTAGAATACAGTGTTTTGAAAGTGTCCCTCACCTATCGTACAAATTGCCTGTAAAAAATGGCAGAAAAGGCTGAATGAAGATGAGAAGAGACTCATCTCAGATAGGAAAAAGAAAATCCAAGATGAATTCAAGAGCAAAATGGGCATTCTTGTCGACATACCTAAAGTTGGATTTGGGAATACCAATAACGGCAACACAAGCAGGAGATTCTTCAACGACGCGGAAACATCTGCAGATATCACTGGAGTAGCCTTCCGTTTAATTTCCAGAATGAAAATTATCCTAGAAGTAATTTCCAGTGGCCACAAGGTTGATGTAGAAAAGTTCAGACAGTATACTTTGAATACTGCAAAGTTTTATGTTGAACTATACCCCTGGTGTCCAATGACTCCAACTCTGCATAAAGTTTTAGTACATGGTCCTGATATAGTAGAGAATGCGCTTTTGCCAATTGGACAATTGTTGGAAGAGGCTGTCGAAGCCAGAAACAAACATTTCCGGGAGTACAGACTTAGCTATGCTAGAAAATTTTCTAGAAAAGATTGTAACCAAGATATCATCAATAGGTTATTGTTAACATCCGACCCTCTGTTGTCCAGCATTGGGAAAAAGAAACACAATCTTACAAAGCCTTTTTCAAAAGAAGCTGTGGAGTTGCTTCTTCCTGGAGAAGTCCAAGATTCCGACACTGAAAACAACAAAAATGAAGAATATTCTGACAATGACGTAGTGGAATCTAAATTAATATCAAAATATAGTATGTTATTTACCATAATAAAGTTTGAAAAATAATATATCTTTTATTTCCTCAAATCCTATTAAATAGAATAAAATGTAATCCCTAAAGTACCCATCTTTCCCCTATATTGAACGCTACTGGCTTGGATTTGTACAAAAAACATTTAATTTACAATTTCTTGTCATATGGTAAAGTTTTCAGCTGTTAAAAAGAGAGAAATAATTTTGGCCAGCTAAAATCGTCAAATACTCCTACGTGCAGTGCCTAGTCTGAGTATGAATTAAAAAAGAATTTTTAAATATTAATTTTTTTTATGAGGGAAATTTTTTTGATGAGATGCAGAAAAAGTTAAGTAAATAGCAGGATTCAGAACATTAAACTAGAAAGCAGCGGTGTCTTGTTAAAAAAGTGTGCAAAATTTTATTTACATATTAATATGCAATTATTTAGAAACAAAAAAAAAAACAAAATAAAAGATATAAAAAACAGTTTCATAAATGATCTTGTTCAGGAATACCATACAGCTGTTCATGATCATGTTCACACCAACCTAATTTAAAATTTCTTGATATGTTAATTGAATCGGAAACTGACAAAATTAAAAGAGTAAAATATAAACTTGACTCTTTGATTGTTGACTTGTTTTTTTTTAGGTTAATTATTATTGTTTTAATGTTTATGCTTCTTAATGCAAGGTTTGTTTTAAATATTTAAATAATATTTAGGTCCTGCTGTTCGAATTGCTTCTACATTGGCTGAAGAAACTGTCCTGTTTGCATCATCTTCACATGATTTGAATGCTCGTTTATTATTTCATAATTCACATGATGAGTAAATATTCCTTTAACTAATATAGAAAAGTTATCGAGAGTTTTTATATTTTATAAGATTGGATAGTGGACAAATAATGTAATAATAAATAATAATAAATAATGAACTTTTTTTTCTCTCTAGAGCTTGCTCTCCTGTTTCATTGTTTGCATTAGACAAACATGGAAACAGAGCTTCTTTAACTGCAACAGTTAGTATTAATGTAGAACCAATTGATATAAATCAAAATAGTATTTTAAATACTGTTGTGCCAGAGCTTGAACAATGTTGTTCTTCAGTCCAAATCATAGGTAACTGAAAGTTTAAGTTTTTGTTTAACTTTTGTAGGTTTTGGTTTTAGTTTATGATTTATAGTATTATTTTTAGATGGGAATGCAATCTTACCAAGAATAAGTTTGAGTGAAAAACTGGGTGCTAAAATGGGAATATACCATTTGGTTTTTTCATGTGTAAATCTGGAGCCTCTAAAAATAAAATTATCTTATAGCACAAGTAAGTTGCATTGTTCATCATGCTGTTTTTATAATGATGATAATGATGATGGTGACAACGATGATAATCATAATTATCATAATTATCATTGTCAATAATGTCAATAATTATGAAAATTATGATCATTGTCATGATCATGAGGTTTATCATGACCATCTTGGTGATGATAAACATGATAACTATTATCATCATGATTGTCATGACGATTATGATTATGGTCATCATAATCATTATTTTTTAATTGTCACTATTATCATAATCATCAGTATCATTATAATGTCAACCATGACTCAACCAATTTTTTTAAAACTACTTGTATTTCTTAAAAGATGAAGAAGCGGAAAAAGTTACACAAGAGATTATTCCCCTCAAAGCTGAACTGAATTCCTATAAAAATATTTTAAAATTAAAACAACAAGATTTTGAGAAATGGGAACAAAAGGTATAGAATTTTTTTTGTCAATTGGTTTTGAATTTAACATTATCTTTATTAAATAAAACTTGATGCATCTTAGCCCAGTTAAATGCAAGAGAAATAAAAAGAATCTAAGAGAAGGACAGTTCTGATATAAAATTTTCAATTTAGCAATGCCATATCATTAACTAGAATTTTTTTAAAATTTTGTTTTTGATATTTTTACTTTAGCACAAAAATGGAATGCCAGGAGCATATCTTTAGTATATTGTATGATTCACCATTATTGAATACAAATAGAATACATCTTGTATTACATTTTGACTACTACATTAGAGATACTAATGAATCAATGTTGTTGGAATTACAACTTGATTACAATAAAGGAAATGATACTGATATGTGCACATATTTCAATTTTATAGATTGGAACAGAGCTTTTTCAAACAAGAACATTAATGAAAGCTATGCAATTTTTCTACATTGTTATTCAGGTGCTTGCAAAAGTTTTGCATCAAAAAAATGAAAAGGTTTAATAAAAAAAATATTTAGTTCAATCAAGAATTCAAAAAGAAAATAAAAACGAAACATTTACTATAGAATGTAAATAGAAATTTAGGAAGTTTAGGAATCAAAATATAAAGCAACAATAATACCTTATAAAAAAACATGTAATAAAAGAAGTTAAGACACCCAAGTTGGAGTTTGAATCATAGCTAATACAAAAGTCTAAAGATAATGCAAAATGTTTTTATAAATTTATCAAATCGAAACAAAACCTTAAAGACTATATAAGAAGCATTTATTCATGGTAAACTCTCGACTGAAGGTCATTGCAAATCATCTCAATGAATATTTTGCATCAGTTTTTTTTTTTAAAGAAAGTCATGACAGTAATAAAAACTGTTCAACCCAAACAAACGTAATTTTTAATGATATAGATCATTGAGATCAATGAGGCAAATGAACAAGAAAACCTAATATAACCTTTTCAAAAGTGTAGATGTGGATAGTGTAAATGGAATTGTTTTAAAAAATGTGCTGCAGTCTTAACATTTTAACAAGACCATAATAATTAGACAGTGATGAGTAACCAAATATATGGGAAGAACCCTTTATGTTACTCTTTTTGATGTTATTCTTTTAAAACAATGTTACTATTTTTAAAAAAAGTAGTAGATTACATGTGGTAAACTACAGACCATTGTTGTTAAAACCCATCTGCTACAAAGTTCTGGAAACTTTTATAAAATAAAAATTTTTCATACACTTTATTTTGAACATTTTTTTAATTTTATTTTTTATTTGTTATTCTGATTCACTCCCAACTAAGCTGCAAGCAACCACTATTAAGTTGGGAGTTACTAGAAAAAAAGTTATAGAGCAAGGAAACGATGGGAGAGAGTTCCTAATTGTTGAAGTGTGAGGAAAAAAACTAGACAAATAAAAGTTTATAAAGCATGCAGATACAGTTGTTTTGAAAGTGACTTAGCTAAGTGACGAGTCAAGCAAGATGGAGTTTTAGTTGACAGAACTAGAGATAAAAGCTCCTTTGTAGCAAATATGATAGTATTTGTAGAAAAGAAAAAGAGATGTAACCTTACGACGATGGGAAAGAGGCTCAAGCTTAGCAGATAGAGTGGGTCCAACTACCTTTACAATGCGTTTTTGGACCTTGTCTAGAAGAGAAAGAGCATCATTAGAAGAACCAGCCCAAATAACAGTATTTCATACAGGGACGAATAAGAAATTAGTAGAAATAGAGAATGGAATCAGGAGAGAAAATAGCGAGCACGATAAAGAGAAGAAACCATAGCAGATGCTAATTTAGCAATCAATTGTATATATCTTTTAAAGGAGAATTGACTTTATGTAAGAAAAATCATGCGCAACAAATCTATTAGAATCACTAGATTTAATAACAAACAACGTTTAAAAAAAATCATCTACTGATAGTATTTTTATAAGTTTTTGATGCTGTTTCCCATAAATAATAACTACTAAGGAAACCCCAAGTTATGGTATTTGCAGATACTTACTAAAATAGATTAAAAACTTTTTGAGTAACAGGAAGCAAAGAGAAGTTATGGGTCAATATGTATTATTGGAGTACCACAAGGAAGTGTCTTAGAACCATTATTATTTATAATTTTTATTAATGATTTATGCAAGATACTGCAAAAACAAAGTAATTTATATGCTAATGATACTAAAATTATTGCTTAAATAAATAATTTAAATTATTACTACACTCTTCAAAATGATATTAATCAGGTGGTTTAGAGGTGTAATGAATGGCTGACGGAATTAAGTCATGCAAAATGTAAACTGATGCATATTGGCAAAAATAATAATGATTTTAACTTCATAATAACAAGAACTTTATTATTATTTTTGTTATTATTCTTATTAATATTATAGTTGTTATTATTACTAATATTATTGTTATTGTTCTTCTTTTTCTTCTTCTTATTTTTTTGTAAACTGAGAGTTTCAAAACTTAACATCAGACAGCACCTTTTTTTACATAAATTTCTTGCAATGATAAACATATGTTCATTTCTTAAGAGAGTTGTTTTTTGAATAAGATGAAACAAATGTTTAGAAGTAGTAGCTGCAAAAGAAGAAGAAAACCACGGAGTAGAATGAAGGTTGACTTGGCTGAAGGATAAAGAGAAAGTTTGGTCCATTTTATCTGAAATATCGTCAAAAAAGTGCAGTCTTGAAAGGAAAGAATACAAAAAAAAGTTTTTAGTGGAAGCACATAAAAGATTGGGTCAGCAGATTTAAACTTGATTTCATGACAAATAGGTGGGTTGATTCATATGTATATGCCCAGGCCAAGCATAGAATGCCCCAAAAACAGAAATAATTTCCGGTTTTCATTAAATTATGGTCTAAATACTAAAATGCATAAAGTATAAATTACTTTAGGTTATTTGAATTTGAATTAAACTTTGTGCGTTAATTTGATTGTGTAATCTTTGGTGAAAAAACAATTGCGTTAAACAAGCAATTTTTCTCATTTTAAAATTTTTATTGAAAATATTAAAATGTCTTTATCTTTCTTGGGCAACACCTAAATTTTTATAAATTAGTGAATTGTCCATAGTGTTCATATAAAAAGCTATAAAAACCACTTCAAAACAATTTTGAGCAAATTTTTTTACTATGTTTGTAATTCCATCTCAGTGAGCATAAAACGTTTAATGGATGTTCTACATAAAGACGTCCTACGGACTTCCATCTCAGTGAGCACAAAACGTTAGTTGAATGTCCTACATAAAGACGTCCTATGGACTACCAACTTAGTGAGCACAAAACGTTTGTTGGATATCCTACATAAAGACGTCCTACGGACTTCCACCTTAGTGAGCACAAAGCGTTTTTTGGATGTCCTACATAAAGACGTCCTACGGACTTCTGTAAGACGTGGCACAGAATTTAAAGAAAGTAATTGATATTTAATACCGAGTTTACCACATTGATTATTGATACTTTATATCTGTGGTCATTATTCAATTTATGATAAATACAAATACGACATTTTGCAGGAGATGAGTTTGAAAATTTTATTTGTTGCCATAAATATCAGGTACAATGAAAAATAAATAATTTTTCAGAGATTTCAGATTTCAGAACTTTCTACCAGTTAGTTTTTGGTTTGCGTGTTTTATAATGACCAAGTTGCAAATGTATAGTGAATATTTTACTTTAGCGATATATCATAAATATTTATGAAGAGTCATGGAAAAGTCATGAAATTTAATTTTCAAATTTGAATGGCCACCCTGAATAAACAAAAACTTAAAAAAACCTAATAAATGTAAGTTGTAGTTAGAAATAAAACTGTTAAATAATTTGATAGCAAAACTTATAACTGACATTTTTTTTTTAATAAGAAAATTAAGATTAACAGTTTCTTAATAAATTGCGTTTCATTTACAGGTTTTTGCCTTTTTCTAAAATGTTATTAACCCTAGCTTATTTTTTTATCGGATACATTATTTATATATATATATATATATATATATATATATATATATATATATATATATATATATATATATATATATATATATATATATATATATATATATATATATATATATATATATATATATATATATATATCTTTATATATATATATATATATATATATATATATATATATATATATATATATATATATATATATATATATATATATATATATATATATATATATATATATATATATATATCTTTATATATATATATATATATATATATATATATATATATATATATATATATATATATATATATATATATATATATATGTATGTATGTATGTATGTATGTATGTATGTATGTATGTATGTATGTATGTATGTATGTATGTATACAGTGGTGTGCAAAAGAATAAGTAATTGTTAAACAATTTGACTTTTTGTACGAAATAAGTTCTTTATAAAAATCTAATTTATTTAAATAGTTATTATATAGTTAATTTAACTATTAACTAATATTTTTAATAAAATGTAACATTAAACAAAACAAAATTTATTTACTAGTCTATATAACTAGATTATTTTTACAAATATCTGCTGTGCAAAAAAATAGGTAAATTAAAATTAAGTACATATTTTATTGGAAATAATGAACAATAATAAGTAAAAATTTAAATTTCTTATGATTTATTAATATTTGGTTGTATACCCTTTGCAATTATCGCCGCACATCTTTTCGGCATGGTATCAAATAATTTTTGGCATGTACTTATTGGAATGTTTTCCACTGTTCATCTTTATTTTTGGTCTTAAGAAGTTTTCCTAATTCATTTTTTACGTTTGCCCGGATTTATCTTCGGTAATTGGGCTGGCCAATTCAAAATCCGAATTTTCTTGTTATAAAACCTATTTTTTACTACCTTCGCAGTATGCTTTGGGTCATTATCTTGTTGACCAAAGGTAGATTTTCTTCTGCGAATGGTAGCATAACATCCTGTAGTATATTTAAATTTATTTCTTTATTCATATTTTCTTTGATCTAAAAATGGGTGGCCTACTCCATAATATGAAAAGCAACCCCATATTTTAATATTTCCACCACCATGTTTAAGCATTTTTACGGTGTATCTATTCTTTTCATATTCTTATATTTCATATTCTGATCATATTCTTTTCCTTTTGGTCTTCTGACATATTTTTTCAGTGCATCTGACCCAAACAAGTTGATTTTGGTCTCATCTGACCAAAGAATATTTCGCCATTTTGAAGATGACTAGCCCACATGCTCCCTAGCAAAATCTTTTCTGTTTTTAATATTATTTGGTGATAAAAATGGACACTTCTTTGGTACCTTGGCTTTAACATAATGTCGAGTAAGCTTTTTTCTAACTGTCGAAGCATCAGTTTGCAGGCCAAAAGTAGTTTTTATTTCTTTTGACGTTGAAAAAGGATTTCTTTTGGAATAAAGAACAATATTTTTGACATCTCTTCTAGATGTTTTCCTCTTTCGACCACGTGTTTCGGGTGTATTTTTTTTTTTTGATTATACCAAATTAATTAAACTTTATATTTGAAATTTCTTTTAAAGTCTTACCCTGATTTCGTTAATTAAATTTCTTTTATATTTCGAACAATGAACGATACGCCCCATTTTTCTTTTATTTTTTTTTTTTATTTTTTTATTTTTCCTAAATTTTATATTTTCTTTTTAATTCAAAAAATTTATAGTAACTGTTAATAAAATTCATATTTTAACTGAATAAATTGATAATAATTGAAAATAATTTAATTTAAAATATAAATTACCTATTATTTTGCACACCGTAAATTAAAGTATTTAAGAGAAATCAAATAAAAACACGCAAAAACTTGTTTATACATCACCAGCATACGACAAAATATACATAAGAGAGCGACGTTATTAATATTTGTGGGATTCCCGCGTCACATCATATTCAATACGATGTGATAGACGCAATATCTTTACAATTACCTATTATTTTGCACACCACTGCATATAAATATATATATATATATATCTATATATCTATATATATATCTATATATATATATATATATATATATATATATATATATATATATATATATATATATATATATATATATATATATATATATATATATATATATATATATATATATATATATATATATATATATATATATATATATATAGGTGCAAAACTCTTTGAGTTCTGTAACAACCATGTTCCAGTCATCTAATCCGTCGATTTACGAGATAGACAATCAAATTTTAGTTATTCAAAATAAAAATTACGATTATGAAATTCAAGCTCGTCAAGCTCGATTATGCCGTAAAGATCCACAAAGTCCACCGCCAAATGTTCGCCAGTACATAAAAGGTATGTCATAACGTAAAGTTATATGTCACTAGTTAAAACTCAGTTAAAAAAGAAACTAGTTAAAAAAGAATAACAAGTTTTTTTTAGTTAGTTTGCTCATTCATCAAAGTTTTAACAGATTATATTTGGTGTTCGTTTTGATTTAATAATCTTTTTAGGCCGGAAAAATACTTATTTTTATTAAAAAAACCGCAGCAAAGATTTTGAGAAGTTGTCACTATATTGTCATAAATTTTTTCTTTAAATATCTTTATAATTGTGAGTTTTATGCTATACAATTTTCTGTTAAAAGGTTTTGTACAGTTGACCAAAAGATCATAAGTTTCTCTTAGTGTTTTTTTTAAATAAATTGTTACAATTACTTTTTATTCAATTATTCAAACTTTTAAAAATTAATGTAAATGCTTTTATCTTATTATTCGCTTATTGTAAAAGATCGTATGTTTTTAATTTTTAATGTCTAATTTTTTATTTTTAATGTCTAATTTTTTATTTTTATTTTTTATTTTTTATTTTAACATTTTAGGTCTAGTTTGCGAGTTGGCGTTTGTTTCAGACGCAAATCTTTCTAAGATATTGTCATGGTACGTTCAAAGTAAGATGAAAGTGGCACTGTGTGAAACTTCAGAGCAACAGAAGAAGGTTTATGAGCTTGGTTATCCTGCATACAGCGAAAGTCTTATTCATGGTTTTTATAAAAACAATTTCAGAACCACCCAAGAAAATTTAATTCCGATAAAAATTACACCCCCTCCTAATTTTCTTAGCCCTATTAGATGTGCAGTAAATCTTCTGGAATTCAAAGAGGGGTACAGCTATTTGCGTTCCACTTTATATTGGTCTGTGTTTTCTTTTACTTTAGTTGTAAATACTCTTGACGATGCACAGCGGTATCGCGAACATATAATTCGTCAAAACAATACAAAGTGCCCAGCTATTTTAACTCTAAATGGAGATTTAATTGCAAGTGACGGTCTAATGGATCCTCAGCGACGCTGTCCCAAAAGTATCGAAAATTTAAAGTATGCTTTTGGTGAGCTTCCAGCAACAGAAAGAAAAGAGTATATTGATTTGCAACATGAACGACGTCGTCTGGAAGAGCTTCGGAAATGTAGATTTAATATGATTGTTGCTGAGCAGGATGTTCAACAGAGTGTTAAAAACCTTCGTGATAAAGAAGAAACATTAATGCCTCAAATAATAAAACTTGAACAAAAACGGGAGAACTTAAAAAGATTGGCTAATGATAATTTAAATTTAACACCAAATAAACGTAAAAAAGAAATATAATAAATAATTATCACTTTATCTATTAAAAAAACCCACTAAAATATCATTTCAATGATATTTGTGTGCTCAATTATCATTTCAATGATATTTATGTGCTCAATTATCCTAGATCCTATAATCATCAATGATTTAAAGAGAATGAAGTTAAAAAAATATGAAAAGACTTGAAAAATTTTTTGGCTCTATTTTAAATCAGGTTAACATCTTTAGAATGAAAAAATCAAGGCCTTTTGACTGCTCTGTGTCTGGGATTATACGTTGGAATTTAAAATTTTCAACATGTTTCTAATAGTGTAGTTTTAATACTGAAAAATGATTTTGTGTAGTTTTACTTTCAATTAATTTTTTGTTTTTGTCGCCCATTTGTATGATCACAAAATAATCTTAGACCCAGTCTATTTAAAGTCAAATTAATGTATAATAATTAGTAAAAAGAATAAATCTAAAAAAATCAAATCAAAAAGTTTGAGTTGAAATTCAACATTAACTAAGATAATCCAGCAAATCATATTTAATATAATAAAACTTGTATGAAAATATAAACTTGTTCATATGAAGATATTGAGATGTTTATATAAGGATATATGAAGATATTGAAGCAAAAAAACTACTATTTTCACGCTAAATACACAATGCATAGTGGGCTAGGTGGTGGACACTGTTCTCCAAATTGACCGCCAGGTTGAAACTCTCCCCGCTTCCAATATTTTTGCATTTAATCAATAAAATGTATTATTAAGCACAATTTAAGTTGTCCGAAAAATCTGAACTAAGTGCTAATTATGTATATTTTAAAAATTAAAACTTATAATTTTTTCTTTTTTTTTTTCCGTAAGTTTAATTAAAGTCAGCCAATATGGTAATCAAAATAATAATAACGGACTACATAATAATGAGATGATACCATGGAGTAGGTTTTGATAGAAACAGTGCTAATAAATTTATGTTCTTGTTAGATGTTTTGGAGAGAGATGTTACCTTAACTGCAACAATTGATATTTTACCGGTAATTAATTGTTTGCGTAAGTTTTCATTAGTGACATCGGCATTGTTTGGTTTAGAAATGGGTACAGATATTTCTGTTAAAATTAAAGACTTCAAATATTCTTTTTTTAGTCTCCAATTATATGCAAAAGATATTTTTGACTACAATTTGAAAGTTTCCTGTAAAATACATATTTTAGTTTGTCATTTTTTTTTTTTTTGTATGTATTTAGGTGCTCCCAGAAGTCCTTGCGGTCTTATCATAGAGCACCGCGGGAGAGCATTTAACAGGAAGTTCACGCCTCCTTCCATACCAATGTCGCTTGTTGGGCTGGCGCTGGCGTCGAACCTAGGACCTCTAGGTTCTGAGCCAGAACTCTAACCACTGCGCCACGGCTGCACATATTCTTCCCTTATTAGAACACAATAAAATTAGCTTAGTAAACTACACAGAACAATGTGGTGTAGCTGCTCATGACATATTTAAAAAAAACTTAGGTATATTAAATCTTGGTATAATCAACTGTATCATCTTAAAAAAAAATCTTACACGAGCTAACAGTATGCTTTCTCTAATTCGTTGCTATGTTCCTATCCAAACTCTTCGATTGATTTATTTTTCTTTATTCTCTTCTCACCTTCGCTATTTTTGTATTGTTTGGGGTCAAAAAAGAAACTTTTAACTTAATTGCATTGTTAGTTTTTCCGCGGTGCTCTGTGATAAGATCGTAAGGACTTCTTGAGGTACCTAAATCAACTTAAAAGTTTACAACGCGCGTCTATTAGAATAACGACGTTTTCGCTGATGAGATCTGATATCCAAAAATATTTTTCTGAACTAAATATTCTAAAACTCCATCTTGTAAAGTTTTACAATTGTCTTTTTGTGTTTGACATTCTCCAAAATAAACTACCAAACTCTTTTTTAAATTTTTTTATTAAAACAAATGAAATTCATAATCATCACAACAGGAATACAGAAAATGGTAAGCTATACTCTTCTATTTTCAACGCAATTAAATATGGTAAGTTTTCCAGAAAACAACAATGTATCTCCGAATGGAGCCAGTGTATTCCTGCATTAATAAAAGTCTCAAAAGAAGTATCCCCTTATTACGGATTATTTACTGCTCAACAGAATTCAATTTAAAAATATATAATTAGAGTGTATTCCTTTAAAATTTCTTTCTGTACTGTAGTTGTCTTTTTTATATAATTTCTTTAACGAGCCAGTGGTTTGATTTTTGCTTTATTTATTATTTATCTATATTATATTTATTTATAATATTTTTTATCGTATTATTATTGCTACTTTTAATGTTATTATTATATTTAAGGTGGTACAACACCAAATAAATAAAAAAATGAAATAAACCTCCAAAATAAAAATGCTTTTAAATACAGTTTACTCAAATGATTTAAATAAAAAAAAGCAAAAAAAAAATTTTTTTTTAATTAGCATTAGGACCATAATGGCGGAAAAACTATTAAAAAAATGCGTTTTTGGACTAAATTTCAAAACATAATATCTAAGGCTAGCCATCATTATATGACCTGAAATTTTGTACACTTACTCTAAACACTATTTTATTCCATTTAACAGATAGATTTTTTAAATATCAAAGTAAATGATGAGTTATGTAGTTTTTCCTCATATTTTATTTTTTGACGTTTTAGAGAGGTCTGACTAAAAAAAAAAAAAATTATTGATCATAAAAAAAAATCCATCTGTTAAATGAATTTTATAGGTATTTCGAGCAAGTACTGAAAATTTCAGATCAAATGAACAATGCTAACTCAAGAAACTGTGTTTTGAAGTTTAAGCAAAAATAAAAAAACGCGAACTGAGATAAACAGCATTGAAAAATTCTTGATATAATATTTACAATATTAATTTAAAATCCTCCTGAAACATAACTGTCATTACATTCTTTTGCTTTCTCCTCATCTAGGTGACCTTTTTTAATGGCTCTAAGAGTTTTTCTTCTTTTTTTTCCCTTCTCTGATGACTTGCACCTCATTTGACTAATCCTTTTTTTATTTTTAGAAGTCGCTGAAATATTTGATACCTTACCATGTAAACCAAAATGTCTAAAAACACTAATAACACCCTTTGCACCATCAGTGTATGCTAAAATAGCTGAATACGTTCCCATTTCCAGTGTTGATTTAGAAACAAAAACTCTTTTTGGTACACGAGCCTAAATAAGTCCATTAAGTGCCTCGTTAGCATTTTGTGTGTTTCCATGTAAACATTTTGATAACAATTCATCTGATTGTAAATTTATAATTATTGGTAGAATTAAATCTTTTATCCACAGAGGTATGGTAGATTTGGGTTTATAATTCTTTTGATTTAGAGCCCAGTATTTGCACCAACTATATTTTCCACGAGGACAAAACTGGTGGCGTGTGTAGGAATCAGGAAAATTGGTGAAATGGAAAAGTATGGCATAAACTGCTTTTTTCATTGAATACAAGTTTCCCACATTAGATCTGATTGCAAGACCATAGAAATTTTGCATTGAATTAATGCAGTTTTCAGTGAGTTTACCTCTGCCTGATATTGGTTTTTTAGTACCTTTTTGGGCTTTAACAATGTTTCGTAGACGTGTTCCTAACCGTTTTTGAACATGTCCAACACATTCCAGTTTTACAGGCATAATACCATACTCTTTGTAAGGATCTGCTTCTATTACATCATTAAAAGAAGATGTATCCCTATCTCCTAGATATTCTTTATATATCAACTTATTTTTTTGTAAAGATCTCTTAAACATAGCCACAGCTCCTACAGATTCCATACTACCCGATGAACCCTTGTGATTCGATTCACACTGGTGATCAACCAACCAACACTGATACTCTGGAGTTCCTTTTTTAGATCTCCACATTTTACATCCATTACAATGTTTGGTAAATATCTCTGCATCAATACATTTATCACTACAAACAGCAGTTACAACACCATTCAAAGAATTATGACCTCGCTTTTGCCATGAACCATCAATAGAAATTCTAACTTCTTTCATTTCAAGAGAGTTGTTTATTGATTTGGTTTCAAAAGCAGCTTTTTGCATACTTTCCTCAGCAGCAATTTTGTATACTAACATGGCAGTTTTATTTAACTTGTTAAAGCCATTAGGCGACAAACAATAAAGATTCATACAGAAGGAAAAAGTTTTCATCAACTCATGGCCAGCACCTATTTCTCGCAATCCGATGACAGCTCGCAGGTTGATCTCATATGGTGATCCTAGAGATGAAAGTTCTTTTTTATAAATATGAAATACAGTATCAATAGGAAACTCATTTGTGTTTAAAGAATTCTTTGACTTTGGTGAAGTTCTAAAATGTTTAGAAAAGTTACACTTTGTACACTTCATCTCAAGTAAATGACAAAAGCCCATGCGAGAATTAACGTTATCTTTGATTAACAAATTTCCAATAAAATAATTGGGGCAAACAGTGTGTGCAATTAATTTCTTTAACAATAAAAAGTTAATAAGTATAAAATAGTCGTCAAAGTCACATTTATCCGAGCTGAACGATACATCTAACTTTCTTGAGCTAACACAAGAAATCTCATGATCTGCAGGTTTTGATTTAAGAATATCAGATGGTTTAAACCCATTCCATTTTCTGCTCTTCTTTCTAGTACTATTTTGTTTATTTGGCATTTTTTTTAAATATATTTATATAATATATATATAATATAAATCCAAAGGGTAAACAAACAATAACACTCCAAATCTTTCAAATCTGTTAGCTGTTACAAAACGTGTTAGTGGTTAAGAACAATGACTTTTAATTGAATTTCAATTCGGAAAACATAGAAGTGACTTCAAGCTTACAAAGCTTGAAGACTCCAGTAAAATTGAGCTTATTTTTAGGGAGAAATTGCCCTAACAACCATGTTAAATATTTAGTATCTCCGTTGCTAAGGAAAAAAAGATACACAGTGTTCTAATAAAATGCTCATATCTAAAGAAAGATAAATTATTTAGCTATGAAACTTTGGCTAAACGTTCTTTGATTAATTTGACACATATTTTATGCAAAATTGAAAAACTCAAAAAATTTTTTAGTTTTCTAGTTTTTTTGGTGTTGTACCACCTTAATTATTATTTATGATATGTACATACAATTTATATTGTATTATAAATATTCTTAATATTATTGATACTTCATTATTATTTTTGTTATTTTGTATTATTACTATAATTATTATATGTATCATCATTATTTGTTTAACTAACTTTTCTTTTTTTTTTTATCTCTTATTACAAGTTTATGGTTTATTTTGACTACCATAATGGCTGACTTTAATGAAACATGGGAAGAAAA